CCCCAAAACCCCAAAACCCCAAAACCCCGTAAAGCTAATTTATTTTTTTGCAATTCTTATTAATTTACTAATTAAACTAAGATAATTTAAGAAATGATACCAATGCAATCATTATACAACGGCTTCTTGAACTATTCAAGAGAACTTTTTGATGCCTCTAATTCAGCCTAGTCATCAATCATTCAAGTATGCGATAACATTGTACCAGATCCCAAGTTATTCACACAACTGCATCCAAAAGGTCTTGCTTGGATGGATGAAAATCATGGTGGAAGCGGGACATATACAAGCTAGAATAAGCGAAAAAAATAAAAAGGCAAATTAATCAAAGGCTTTGTGCTAAATCAAGATTATTTCCAAAATAGGAGTTCAAGTCTTAGTGAAAACAATCCAATTACACATACTACAATGCCAAGTATTAATCGAAGTGCTCAATAAGAGAGAAAGATCAAAGGTTCGTTTCCAGCAAAATTTGAGACTCTTATATTAAAAAAAGAATCACGAAATGGATTTGGGAGCTCGGTAGAGAGATTTTTAGACTTAAATGCAACTTTAAATTCTAGTAATTCACAGTTGATCATTAAGAACTCAGAAAAATCTGAAATTCCTGGACCAGGTACTTACATTTAGGATGCTAGCTTGATGGCTAAAGATAATGCAGAATCAATGAGTCGAAAGGGCTATGGGAACGGATTCGTGTCCAAGAGTAAAAGATTCAATTTATGCTTTGACAAAAATTCTTTGGATTATGTTTACGCAAAATTAAAAGCAACACCCGGTCCAGGGTAGTATGACTTCAACCTTTCTACCATGAATTCAAGGAGACCGATCTCCTCTGTATCTACATAATTCAGCACTCCAAAGCGCAGTCGATAGCCATAGTTAATCCCAATAGATCCAAATCAATCAAGCTTAGAGAATATTAATACAATGAATATCCAAGTCAATGATGATTCTTTGATGAAATAGGAATCGACTTTTTTATTTGATCATTAAAAATCTGTTTAAAAGAAAACGAGGTTTCGCATTCCTTAAGTAAATAAAGATATTAGTGATACACCCGGTCCAAGTGATTATAAAATAAGAGAAATGAGTTCAGCCAAAAAATATAGGGGTATCACAATTCCAAAGAGTCATTATAATAAAATGGAATCGGAAATTGAAGAGAAGTAAAACCTAGCGCCTGGTTATTATAAAGTATCTGACGATTCAATTAAAAAAAGAAATATTGCATGCAAGATAAGACCTCCTAAGCCACCTAAGAAGTAAATCTAAATAATATAGCAAGCCATTGATGAAATACAGTATCCTCCTGTTATTTAATCATCATTAAATCATCTCTTGAAATTTGACAAGATTGATTTTGAGGCGCTTGAAATAGTTGATTAAAGAGATTACATTGGTCCAGGCACTTTTAAGACTGAAGAATATAACTCAATAGAGTCAGAATAGATTAACAAAAATATTACTGGCAATGAACATAATTACTACTTTGTTCAGCCAGAGAGAAACGGCAACTTTAGAGATAAGCTAGTTTAAAAGTCAATTTTCAATGACAATATGGCTCATTTACAGAACCCTGGTCCTGGGAACTACAATGTCGAAAATTACAACACAATCAAATAAAGCACTAAGGCTGAATAACTTCCTGCAGGCACCAATCAATTCAAGAGTGATGTTATAAAGGGAGAAAGCTTTATGCTAATGCTCAAGAATGAGAAGCAAGGTCCTGGCCCTGCTTATTATCACCCAACTGAAGAAAAGGATGCAAAGAATATGAATCCATTGAGAAAATGGCTCTGAAAATTGAAAAAAATTGAATTGCTTTTGATATTAAAATTTTTATTTCACTAATTAGATTATCTAACGCCGTATTTGACATTGCTAGTTTTCAAAGTAAATTGGAAGTTTAATGTAGTTAATTAAATGTAGATATTAATTAGATCTGTGAAGAAAATAAGATTTCAAAAGATATGTTCAGGATTCTGGGAAGATTGAGAATAATATTTAGAAATAAAAGCTTCCTGCTTAATCCATACTCCTGCTTGGTAAAACAAGTATTAGAATAATGATAGGTTTATTCTCCAATATTATAGTCAATAAATACTTCTAAAGTTATCAATGGCTTCGTCTAGTTTCATGGTTTCAATCAAGGTGTTTTAAACATATTCTTAGTAATCCAATATCATTATCAATCATATCTTTGAAGTCTAAATCCAATATAAGTTAGCCGTATCAATTAATGCTTTTAGAAGGATTGATATTTATTTAAAGTAAACTAAGAGTCTCTAATAGACTGATATAATCAATAAAATTAATCATTCATCATTATCAGATCAACTTGTCTTAATTTATCTTAAACAGTGGAATATAATCTTGGGAAAAACGGAAATTTTTGAAATCTTTATTTTATTTTATAAAAACATCTGAGATGAAAGAAAAGTTTTGCATATAACAATAATAGGCTGATTATAAATAATATTTATGCAATTATAAGTTATTTTTTTCTGTTTAATATACAAATTGATTTAATTAATTTAACTTCAGTATAATATTGATTTAAAATTATTTTAATTTTGTAAAGACACTTGTATTACGTCTCTCTTAGCGAACAACTTATTAAAGACCATGTCATACTAAAACATAAAAATCGAGGATCTTCCTCTCTTACACAACAATAATAAGACAGAGTTTCAGATTAGCATTAACAGATCTAAGATCTAGCCACTGAAACAGTAAGGTAAAAGTACTGTGCTCTCAAAGGCAGATTAAGTCTTTGAGGAAATTGCAAATTTAGAGGGAGCTCACTATGGGAGCATTTTTGGCCAGAGAAGCTTCGCAAGTCTACAAAGAATCAACGATTCAAATCATCAAGCTAATTCTAAGTGGCAGCAAACTATATATGAAGATGAGTAAAATAACTCTCTCATTCAGGACTTCTGGATAGTTCTCAAGCTAGCTGTGCCACCAGTCATCTCAATGTTCTTCTAGTTCTTTGTCTAGTTGATAAATACTTACTACATAGGACATCTTAATGATCAAGTGATAATGGCCGGAATAGGAATGGGAAATATGCTTATTAACATTCTCTGCTTCGCTGTTACCCAAGGCCTCAATAGTGCTCTTGAGACTTTCATTTCATAGTCATTCGGTGCTACTAACTACTCTTATTGTGGGGTGCTTTTGAATAGAGGAAGACTTATAGTCTCAGTTTTCCTAATACCAATTATTTTAATTTTTGTGGTTAGTGATAAATTACTAATTTACATTGGACAAGATGCCTAAATCGCTGAAATTTCCAAATAATTTTCTCTAATGATGATGCCTGGAATCTGGGCAATGACTTAATTCGATGTCATTAGAAAGTATATGATAGCTTAGAGGTAGAATACCATTCCAGTTTATATTTAGTTCTTCACAATGATCTTGCATTTTGGATGGTGCCATCTATTTATTTCTGTCTATGAATGGAGTGTTTTTGGGGCTGCTTTGGCAACTAATATAACCTATCTCCTTAATTTAATAATCATCGACCATGTATTGGCAAAGAGCTAGAAATTCTAGTTCACTAGAGCCCCTCTTGACAGATCAATCTTCTAAGAATGGTCTGAGTATTTGAGAATCGGTATTCCAGGCGCGTTTATGTTGTGCTTTGAATGGTGGGCTTTTGAATTCCTAGCCATCTTCTCAGGGTACATCAGTGTTGCTTCTCTTGCAGCAGAGATAGTCATCATTAACATAGTGAGCTTTATATTCATGATGCCTCTAGGAATATCATATGCTGCCTCTTCATTAACAGGCTACTATGTAGGTTAAGGTAATATAAAAAGAGCAAAGAGATTTGCTTTTGTAATAATGCTTTTGAATATTATACTTACCATTTTTGTTTTGGCTTTGATTGTTATTTTTAATGAATAAATCTCCAGACTATTTACACATGAGGAGGAAATAGTAGAGATAGTCAATAAAGTTCTTTGGATTATAGTCATTTATATCTTCTTTGATACTATTCATGGAGTTCAATCAGGTATCATCAAAGGCATCGGGAAATAGACATATAGCTCTATATTTCTACTGATTTGCTATTACTGTTTTGGTATGCCTTTGGCATTAGTGTTTGCCTTCAAACTATAAATGGAGGTTAGTGGACTCTGGCTAGGGTTTACTATTGCCTCTATGATTCTAGATGTTGGCTTCTACTTTATCATTAACTGCACTTAGTGGGAACTAGCAGGAAAAGATATGAGGAAAAGATCAATGACAAGCGAGATTTAGAGAATCGAGATGGCTAAAAGTATTCAGGCTTCAAAGCATGGAAATGATGAATTATCATAACCTAAGATTTTTAGTAAATAATTGAACTCAATCGACGGATAGAGAATGTCATAAAAATCAAAATACAAGCTTTGAACATTTAGCATGCAAATAATTGGATCATAATAAAAACTTTATCAAACTAAAGTCAATAATGATCTAGAGATCTCCAATAAACTCACTTTACTTTAAAGCTAAAATTTAAGATTTATAGATTTTAATAAGATTTCAGATATCTAATAAATTGAGGATTAATCTTCAAGGGGTTTTGGGGTTTTGGGGTTTTGGGG